TTGTTTAATAATAGAGTCCTTGGTGTGGTTGTTTAGTAAAAACAATGTCGCTTGATCCATTCCAGAATCTGGGCAGAACATGTGTTGAGTTGGAGAGGCCGTATCTCAGTCACAACATGGAGATAAAATACGAATTTTGGGTCTAGGTTCAATTTCGATGAGTCTACTTTCTGTTCCAAGTAGTTTCGTGTCAAAAAAACAAAATTAACTTGGTCAAAAAGCCTTTACCGTTTAGGGTCGCAAAGCTGGAATTTTTGGTCAGAATTTAGGACGTTTTGGGTGCCTCACAACTCCCTCTTTTTTTCGAATTCTTTGGTAAAACTCTTTCTGGATTGAGTTCAATATGTCTATTAGTCTCTGTAAAAATTTCAGAATTTTTGGAGGTCTKTAAGTATTTTATTTTGTATATAACTTTCTGTTGCGCAAAACAGAACGGTTTACTGACTTGTACTTTCATATATTTTTTTAAAAAATTAGTAAAACATTAATTAAAATTAAGGAAAATTTCTGAAAATACCTAATACTTGGAAGTCTCTACCATTAAATTTTGGAACCTTATCTAATTCATTTAAGGTATAGGGAAAATTCTTGAAGTATCCTAAAATTTCGGTTAAGAAACCAAACTTATATGTAACACCCGGAATTTCATCTTATGTTATTTATACCTTATCTGTTATTTTTTTTTCTATTTCAAAAAAATAATAATAATAATAAAAGAAAAGGGGGGGGGGGTGTTACCCTCTAATAGTGGATCTTAACCTTAGACCATTTTGAATTGAGAAGTTTCCCCATTGACCCTAGGTTCTTATCTATTGGTTTAGATTTAGTGAGGGGACAAAAGCTTTTGTAAAAAGAGGTTAAGGGCTGCACCTAGGGAAAGAGGAAAAAAAAAGAAATAAAATAAAAGTAGAGGCAGCCCTTCATCCGAGAAAAAGAAAGAGAGAAAGAAAGAAGTCAAGGGAGAAAGGAAGCCCTTCACCGGAGAGGAAGGAAGAAAGAAAAAAAGAAAGGAATCAGGGGAGGAAAGGATCGCCGGACAGCAGGCTTTTCGGTGCTGTTCCTCCGTCTTCTTCGGCCAACTCGCGGCCTACTGCACCATCCTTTCTTAGCCACACCAGTCAGCAACCAGCTCTGTTTCACCCTTCGTTTTCCTTGGCCAAACAGCAGACCCCCTGACTGCTTCTTCGACTGTTTAACCAAAGAGAAATCAGCAGGCCATATGGTGCTGTCTTCCTCCGGTTTCTTTGCCCAAACAGCAGCAACGAAGGTAAAGTTCCTTCGGTTTCCTTCGGTCTAAACAGCAGGTAGTAGGGGCTGTTTTCCTCGCCTTTCGTCGCCCAAACAGCAGCTTATTTGCTGCCCACCGTGCCTCACAAAACTGCTGTCCTTAACGTCAACAGCAGCAGCGAAACAGCGAGTAAAGAAGGGCTGTTACCCGTCTTTCTGCATMAAACAGCAACAGCAGCAAGACAGCCGCGTTTGCTGTCCCGTGGCTTCTCTCGACAGCAGCAGCAGCAGCAAGTTAGGCTGCGGTTTTCTGTTTAGTAATTTTCTCAACAGCAGCAGGTGGCTGCCCGCACTCTTCTGTCGCCTCTCGGACCATCAACAGCGACAGCAAGTGCTGTCTGTGCCGCACCAAACAGCAGCAGCTGTAACTGCTGTGTCATGACGCGCCTTGCGCTACTGTGCCGTATTCTACTGTTTTAGACCTCCTCTCCATCCTTCCATCTAGCTTCGAGGTATTAGGATTTCTCCAAAATCCTTCAATGTGAGTTCATACTAACCTTTTAGAAGCTTTGATACAATTCCTTTGATTTTCTTCATTAATGGCTATTTGGGTGAAATTCTTGAGTATTGATCTTGTAATCAATAATATAAACATGGTTAGATGGTATTTTGATTGTTGGAATAAAGATTGAATMCAAAATATGGATTTTAGCCTATTTAGTTGGTGAATTCGACAGCACCAAATCTACCCGAGACGCTGTTTTGAATGTGCGATAACTTCTTGACCGTAGATCGGATTGCTACGATTCTGG